TATTTATTTATTATAATGTAAAAGTTATCTTCTAAAAATCTCATAACAGTTGGAAAAGTTAAGCAACTCGTTGCTAGAGTTTTTTTTATTATTAATTACTAGAAATTCTCCCGTCAAGCATGACGGAATATTTTTATGAGAAAGTCAAGATTGAAGAATTGCTTCAAGTCAAGCTTGACGTTCTGATGCTCTTTCAGCAGTCCTTGGCAAAGTCATTCTTACTCGGATTTTGTTCAAGTTGAAGTTCACGATCTTCAGGAATCTCGGTTGTTCTTATTCTTTTAGATCTAGAATTCGACGGCCGGATGGTAGAACGGTCAAGGCGGCAATCCACCGCTCTGGGAAACCTGGGATCGAATCCAGAAGAGTCGAAAAATCCACAGGAATTCTTCGGAGGTGGTCCGTCTGGATATGTCGGGCCCCGTCCTTCAGCACCCGGCTGCCTTATTGTAAGCCTGGCCAAATCTATAATGGACTTGCTAAAAGAGGTCTTCATAATGCCCATAAGACGGAAAAAATAAAAATCTAGAAGTTGCCTGACCATTTTTACTCTTACGCTTCTAAATTATACTTATCGTCCTGACCCTCTATGAACAAAAATCTTACTCGTCGAGACTTTAACCAGAAATCTCATAAATGAGTTAGACACGCTACCTATACACATTAGATATATAATATATACACTAGCTTGTTACACCAAGCGTTATTAATCGGAAAAATCGTGGTAAAACCCATTCTAAGAACTATCAGAATGCTTATAAACTAAGTGGGACTTACATCCTCGTAAATAGCCAGTATACAGAAAAATAATTAGAATTAGTTTGGTTTAGGCGACGTCATACGTGGGCGATCTGCCGAGTAGGATGCCTCTTGGGAGGACTTTTATGAAAAAGTGGTCCGGTTAGATGTTACTAACATGATGAAAACCCAGAAAACTCCACGTACCGGCCCATTGGCCTGGAGCAAACTCACGACTAACTACAGGTGATCGGTGATTTATCCACTCGGTCACCAGTGGGCACTTATTAGAGAGGTTGAGGCGCACGTTTTAAACGTGTAAACGTGTACGTGTGACGTTCGGCGCCGCTTTCCCGTAAGCCTAAAAGTTTGACGATGGTGTTTGAAATGTCGAGCGTGATTCCACCGACTATCCAAACACCATTGTCAAACTTTTAGGCTTACGGGAAAGCGGCGCCGAACGTCACACGTACACTTTACACGTTTAAAACGTGCGCCTCAACCTCTCTATTAGAATTAAGAAAATACCATTCGGAAATGAAGAAACCCGAGTTGTTAGACGTGGAAAATTAAATACTTATATGGTGTTACACTGTTAATAACGGTTCGTACCAAGGGTAATCCACATAAACCGTATCATTGAAGTCCTCGAGGACCACATCGTAAGATCTGCAAAATATTACGTCTCAATGTTTTGTGCTTCTCGAAATAGAAGACTTGAGTTNATGAGCTATAATGTTCAAAAACTTAGAAAATGAATTCTGTAATATGAAATAAATATTAATTGCATTAATTCTTTTATTTAAGTTGTTAATCACAATAATTTAACACCACTACTAACACCTAAATGGTTTAATCAAACTCTTGCTATAAAACAATCTAAAATATCAAGATGCAAAATTTAGTCAAAGCAGATAATTTGATTTTATTTATGGGTTATTAGTTATAATATTCATAATTATTCTAAAAACATTTTACAAAGCAAACAAATTTTCAGTTATATTTGAAACTATTTCATCAATATCAAATTAAATTTTCAAACTGCATTTGTACTCCATATAATCAATAGTTCATATTCAATAGCATTACATATTCATTTATGCAGGAAATATATTAAACTAACTGATTACTTTAATAAATGTAAATTGCTGATCAATAAACACATCAAATATTCGTCTGAAGTTTATTCAAAAGTCATAATGTCCTCTCACAAAGTTTCTGTATTATATTCACAATTAAAAATTATTATTTTTATTTACATGTTCATGCATTATTTTCTAGCATAAATGATTTTGATGGATTTAAAATTATGCATTGAGTTGTTTATCAATTCTTTAAGTAATTAACTGTAATCTCTATTTAAATCCAATGCTGAAGAATCTATTAATCTGGATTTAAATCCAAATTACTTGATTTAGCACTCAAAATTTCAATATTTTAAATTCCGTATGGCATTAAACTCAATAAGAGCTAAAAATTATCCCTCAAAATAAAATTATGTTTAATAATTAAGTTCAATGATCATGTAAATATATATCTAACAAAGCATATATAAATCATTTTTTAAATTTAAATTATCTTTAATTTTTCATTATCATTCAAATTTATATATATATATATAGAATTTATTTCTTCATTATGTTAAATATTTAAAAAATTCCTATATCTGCATANGTATAATTTATTAAAAACTATTTGACAGCATTAATTAGCTATTAAATATTTATCAGTATTGCCATATTTTTTGTCTTTCGTTATCTAATTTATACAGGCCTCGGGCCTCAAAGTTTCAAAGAATAAAAGCAAGTAATCTAGAATTTCCATCAGGCTTTAAGCAAGGACAAACTTCAAACAATTCACTTCTCTATTCCCACTTGCATTTAGTTTACTATCATATCCTATCATGCAGTAAACTTGTGTGTTTTTGTTTACAATTTGAGGAACTAATATAAAAATATTCCATATTGTGTATTATTTATGAATATCTAGATTAAATGTTCAATGATAAGATTAAAGCTCTTAGATATCTTATAAAGTTAGAAATTTTATTGAGAAAAATTTATTTATTGAACAAAAGAAATTTTAATTCAGCAAAATTTTTAAAACATTTTTATAATTTCAGTTTAATCAGATTTTATTTACATACAATATACTTCAGAGAAAATTTTTATTTAAATATCTTGACTTTTTGTTGTTATAAATAATATTTACAGAAAGTAAAATTTTATAGATAGTGAGTTTGGCATATTCATGTAAACAAATTTGTAAATTCATTCATATTTTTAAAAAATCATGCATATAATTTACAGAAAAAAATTAATTTGATAAAAGAAATCAGTTGATTACAAACAATTTCTCTACTTTATTTATATATAACAATTCAAAAGCATGTTTAAATTCATCTAAATTGCAATTTTCTTGTATAACTTCAAGTGTTTGAAAATTATCCATTACCAACCAATTAGGATTAGTAACTAAAATCTTAAAAATGTCCCATACAAAACTTCTCATTAAATATCTAATCATTAAATCATAAACTCAATATTTGATAGATTAATCAAGAATTTCCACTAAAAAGTTTACTACTAATTAATTAAAATCCAATTTGTAATTAATTTTGATTTATATCTAACAGAACATAAAAAAACATGGCTTTAATTCAACTGATTATCATGTCTGTCAAAGTAGATCTTTATAACCGTATCAAACATATTTCTATTATAAAATAATCAAAATGAGAAACAAATTCTAAAATAAACTATCTTTCAGTGTTAAATATTGTCATTGACAGACAAGATAGTTATTTTCAATTTAGATTCATTTATATGCAAGATACAACACAAGCATCAAATTTGAAAAATAAATTCTAATTATTTGGCTATATTTAGATACAATATAGAGTATAGAAAAAAAATTATCTTCATATTTAAGAAATATCAAGTCTATTCCAGAGTTGTATAATAGCACTCTTAAGCTTCACAGATTACAACTAGGAAACACATACAACTTCATTTAGCATTTATTCTTTAAGAATTCATTCCAAATCCAAGAATAATTAACAGATAAAAGCATCATAATCAACAACTCAAAGCTGGGTATACCTAATAAACACGATTTAACAGCTTATTTTAACAGCTACAAAGGTAAGTTAGCCCAAAGATGCCCATTTAAGTCAAAAACATTTGCTCTCTCATAATTTTGTGCCAAAAATTAATTTTGTTTACCTCATCAACAAAAGCATCAATACTGGTATTTATATAAAACAGACAGACCACTTAGATCAGCGTTTCTCAACCTCTAATGAATCGTCGCCCCCTTCAATAAAACCGTTACGTAGTATCACCCCCTTCACTTCAAAATCCCGATGTCGAGGGCCAAGGGTAACGCCAAATTTGTACTGCATCGAATAGACTAGTGACTAGTATAATGTTATTTGTGTAATTATTGTACGACATAACAAATAAAATATCTAATTATTCTTAATATAATGTTTTACTATATTGCCCAGAAAATTGTTTTTCATCCCCCAAAATATAAATTGTTACTAATCACCCCCTCAACATGGAAAAACATCCACATGGGGCGATATCGCTCCCGTCAAGAAACACCGACTTAGATAATTCTCGAAAATTCCGTAATTCCGCAACTGCGGGTGTATAGGAACGCTACCGGTAATCAGACGATTCAAAACTTAGGGTTTAATTACATATAATTTGGTCAATTACATACGCATATAGATGCATTTTGGGCCGACTTAATTTTACGGCGTCTGTCGGTCACTAAAATTAAAAAACCTGCCACTTTTCGACGCGCGGAACCAATAAATTCATCACGCGCACATTTCGAATCATTCCCTCATATCAACAGATAATGAAAAAAAAAAAAAAAACTAACAATGCAAGACCCATAAGTTAATTTTAGACCTGACTGTCATTATTTTTAGAGTATTTTTAGTGTAGAATCCTTACCTAACTTAAGACAGAAGAATCAATTTGATCGCATCGACTTGTTTATAAATTCGTAAGTAGAATTGGTGTAACTTACAATCAAATCACGTATTCAAATTCGAATACTTAAATCCCATTCTCACATCATCTCATATCTCACGTGAAAGGTACGTGAATGACAGAGAAGATTCGAATGAATCAATTTGAATAAGTATTGAAAATGCTTAATAATTGTGAGTTTTATTTTTGTGTGATTTTAATTATTTATTTTATAAATTTTAAATTAATTATTTGTTTTTTGTTCGAATTTCTTACTTTTTCGTTTTTATCCGCAGACGACTTCGGGTGCGTCTCAACGTATTCGTTATGATGAATTGGACGTCCTTTCTTGTTTTTACGTCTTTTTGCGCGTTTGTTTTCAGACGGACTCATTTTCTTTTCTTATAACGCTTTGCAGAAATATACGAACCTTTATTAAAAACTTTCGCTTAATCCAGCAACAAGACTAAACCAGGATCACATTTAACATGGCGGTCAGGCGTTTCCATAACTCTACCTGCTATTTAAAGAAATCGCCGCGCCGCGTCGCTTTTAAGTTTTCATGTTATTACTAAAACAAATGCATAATTGAACCTAACGTGACATAACAGTTACGTAATGTTTGTAGAAATGTACGAAAACTGGACGTACAAAAGTGAACAATCGGAATTTTTTTTTTTTTAAGAATACCGTGCAGGTATATTTTATGTATTCGAATCGTGTGTTTTTATGAGTTTCCTATAAAATAAAAAAAATGCTTAAATGTTAAAGTTTAAAAATGTGGTATGTGATGTAATTACAATAACAAGCATGGATTCCTTAAATATATTGTAGTAATCGTAAATTGTGAGCGATTTGATGGATTAAATATATTCTAATTTATCCAATTATTCGCTATTTTTAATTTATTCGAAAATATTCTTAGATTAAGAGTGAAGTTAAAATCAATCAGTCAGGTTGGATAAGCGCTCAATCAGTTTATCATTGGTTGAACACCGCTGCTAAAGTAATTGAAACAAATTAACCTGGCTCAAAATCTCAAATTTATCCCATATATATTTAACTATTTAACTTCAAAATCTCCACAAACATTTTCTCGACACAAAAAAGAAACTAGAAACGGTGGCATCGGAAATAGATGAATCATTACGGAATTTTTGAATAAGTAAGTGAAAGGAACAAGTGAGGCAAAGCCCTCTCTATTATATTCAATATCTAATTTTCTTTGATGTTCAATTTCAAAACATTCACCAGTGAATTACTCTAAAATAATCCATAAGTCAAAAGAGACCCCTAAAAATTCCTTAGTTGCTGGAACAACTTCTATGACATACAGTGCCGGCCCGAGGCAAGTTTTAGGATGGAGCGAGATCCTATTATTGCGCTCCCCTCGGTTGCCCCATAACTTAGGCCCTTTAATTTTCTTTACCACTGAGGCAACCCCCCCTAGGACTTAGCGCCTGGAGCGGCTGCTCCGTTCGCCCTATGGTAGGGCCGGCTCTGATGACATAGTGAGCAAAGAATACTGTGTATTTATTTATGAAAATGTTTTCAAAAGTTAAATAAAATATTAGATAAATTTATTTCGTATGTAAATAAAAACGTTCTTATCTTGAAGTGGCAGAACCCATGGAATAATCCATACCAGTTACTGTGCGCGTTCGATTCTCTCAAACTCCATCGTCAGATAATTTAGGGTCTTGAAGTTTATGATGTGGTCCTCGAAGATTTCGATGATACTGTTTGTGTGGATAAGCCTTGGTATGATCCTTTATTGAGCAAAGGTAGCATAGCATCCACAGATGGTGGCAAATCGGACACTTGCCCCTTTCTAGGATGGAGTAAAAAAAAATTCACAAATTATACTGTATTGGTAAAAATAATTGAAACATGTAACCTTACACCCTTGACCATGGGACGATTTGATGCAATACTGTATTCTATAACTTATTTTTTTTTTTAAACCCCTGAAAATTAAATTATTAAATAAAATTTAATTGATGTAATTATTTGTCTCCAAACTATACCCCCTGGAAAATTTTCTGCCTGTGTCCATGAAAGGGAGAAAGCACGCTTCTCAAACGTTTTCAAGAAACTCGAAGTTAAAAAATACAGAGATTTTTGAGTAAGTTCTGTAAAACCTTTAGGTATTGCACTTGGTCGTTGGTTCGTATCTTGATATAAATTTTACAATTATTTTATGTAAATTACTTAGGTTTATGCATTTTATCTATTTATTTTCTATTAAAAATGTGTATTTTCTCTACCTTGAAAATTTGTTTTAAAAATTGCTGTCTGTTCAAATTTAATTAAAGTTTGTTTTTTTTAAATTGTTTTTATATCTTAATTAAAGATTTAATCTTTGTTAATTTAAGTCTACCTGCGGACCACTTGTCCTATCATCGCTGACCACAGGTTGAGAAACTCTGCCTTATATTAATAATTTATGACTTTATTCTTACATTATATTATTTGTTGTGACATCAACACAATGCCGGGGTATTCGTCACAATGCTCTCGATTTTAGTAGTCTTGCTCCTGAACATCATACTCTTCTTGTTAACAATGGAGTCATGCAGGTTATCTATCTCACTCCGTTCAGGAGAAAATTTTTGAATTGAAATAACGTGACTCCCCTGAACCCAATAAGTCAAAAAAAATTCGTGGATGTGTGTGTGTTTTGTAAACACCGCTAGACACGTGGTCTGCGGTTTCAGATACACGAGGAAAAGAACAAAGGAAAGGACAATGAACAGTCGGTGGAAACGTGTAACTAGACAAACAAAAGTTTATTTTAGTCGAAAACCGCGGTACAATATTGATACCAAGATACAGTTCAATACCGGACACAGATAGCGTAACAATAACAAAATTGCTTGATATTCCCCCTTCCAAATTTCCTTCATCACGCGAGGCCCTGCTTTGCCCGAAAGTAATATAGATCCGACGGATAAAAAAAAACTTTTTTCAAATAAATTTTGGGAAACAGAGTACCTAAAGGACTTGACAAATTTCTTCCGTAACGGTACATTCGTTGGCTTCGATGGAGACAGGTTTTCTTTTCGCGCCGCACTTCTTGAACTCTATCGACGGTCGACTCTCTTCACGTTTACGTATTGTCTCTCCCTCCGTCCACGGCGTACTCTCTCGAAGAGGAAAACCCAAAGTGTTTTTTTTTATCCGTTACATACGTTTTTATATCTCCCTCCAACTACGTCACTCTGTCCCACGTGATCCTGTCACGGACCAATGTGATGTCGGAAAACCCAACCATCGACTAACAGGTGGTATCGAGGAAGGAAACGGAAAAGAACGGTACAAAACATACGCGCGACGCGACATAAAGGAAAACAAAAA